GGGGTATGCCGCATGGGGCGACGTGCGGAGGGCATACTAGGCAAGGAGGGAGGAGGGAGACGGGGGCAGAGGGGGAGGGGGAGAGAGGAACCTAAGGCGCTGTGTTTGGTGTCCGTTCCATGGGAGCCTGCGTGGCCCCCTGTACTATCCGATTTGGGCCTGATTTGAACCGGATTTGGAGCAAATTTGGACCGGATTGGGACCAGCCTTGGACTGGACTCGTGGGGGCCAAGAGAACGAGGAGGGGGAGGGGGAACAGGAGAGGAGAGGAGGAGCAGGAGGATGGGCCGAATGCGGTCCCCACGCTGTCCACATGCAGGAGAAGCCGATTTCAAGGTCGCCGCCCAAGGCTCCCATGAACAGGCATCGAAGCTGTGTCCTCAAGACGAGGACCCAGCACCACAGGAAGGTGGGGAATAGACGCCCCCGGCGCTTCGGAGGCCTGGGGGAAACCAGAAGGCACCTCTACCGCCTACTTCCCGAGCCTCTCGCGGGAGGCGCTCTGGCCAAGACTTTCCGAGGCGAGGCCGGCCGTGGCGGCGAGGGCCTCCGAGGAGGCCCCAGAGAAGGGAAACGCGAGCGAGAGGCAGCGGCAGTGCGCCCTCTCCTCCTCGGGGATACCGCCTCTACGCTCCTGGCGATGCCTCCCGCCTGGCGAGTCTACGCTCCTGACGTTCCTGGCAGCCCCGCGCCCAAGCAGACGGCGCCGGCCCCGCGGCAAGCCCCACGGCAAGCCCCACGGCAAGCTCGCTGCGCCCGAGGCAGAGTGTGCCCCGGTGCCTTTCGGCGCCCCCCCCAAGACGCACGGCCGCGCGTCGGAGCAAGCGGCGCGGCGACACGTCGCCTGCGTTCCCGACGTGCCCTCCCGCCGAGCCGGTCCGAGCCGCGCGGGCCTCCTTGGCCGCGGCCACCGCGCGCCGCGGCGGGGAGCTGCCAGCCGCCCCCGGCGCGCTCGCCCCCGCGCTCGGCGTGCTCGCCGGGCCGCCGCCGTGCTCGCCGGGGGGCCTCGCGAGAGGCGACGGCGACGACGAGGACGACGACGACGACGACGACGACGACGAGGACGACGACCTCGACGAACACCACGACGAGGACAACGAGGACGACGACGACGAGGACGACGAGGACGACGAGGACGACGAGGACGACGACGACGACGACGACGACGACGACGACGACGACAACGTACACCACGACGACGACAACAACGACGAGGAGCACGGCGACGACGACGACGACGACGACGACGACGACAACGACGACGACGACGACGACGACGACGACGACGACGACGACGACGACGGCGGCGGGACGCAGAAGGGCAGACAGCCGTCGCGCCACCAGAAGGAGCGCTGATCAAGGAGCGAAGAGGCTTTCCCAGCCACGGCGAGCCTAGGCCGCGAATCGGTCCCCGACCCAAGAGCCGCGGAGCGGCCCGAGAAGCAGGCACCCTCCTGAGCCAAAAGGTGTCCTTCATCCAGCGCCTTGACTGCACCATTGCTCGGGCATGTCCCCCTACAGGCGGATTTTGGACCAAAAAATGTAAACAACATCTAAAAATACTCGTCCCCAGACAATGTTTGTCAATCTTTTTGAATCGTCCAGACCATTGTTTTACTATGTCTGAATATTCCTCCTGTAGAGGGACAGGCCAGACGCAACTGTACCAGCAGGGCAGACTTAGCTGTACCAGCACTGGGCGCCCCCCTCTTGAGGGCGTGCGTCCGGACCGAACATCACGTGCA